CGGCGGAGGGCGCGTCCGGCACCCGAGCACGGGTGTGTGTGTGAGCGGAACTGGACTGTGCCCTAAGGCACTGGTTCCAGAACTTTGCTGCCCGCGGGAGGCACGTGAGATCTTTAGACTACTGATACCTGGCTCCCACCCCAGACACTCTGATGTCGTTGGCAGGGGGCATGGCCTGGGCATCTGAGTTTTTTAAAACTCGAGTTAACCGCAAAGTTTGGGACCCACTGCCCTAAGGTAATGGATGAGTCAGTCTGGCAATCCCCTAAAGGAAGTCAGCAGACTTTCCAAAAGAAACATCTAGTTCATTCTGACTAATCCTGCAAAGAAATGACAAATTCTCAGCCACACATAACTTCCCCGTAGCATACTTCCTCCTTATCCGACTCGGTTTTGGTCTGTCTGGTTAGTTTTAGGGAAAACCGAGAGTGTACTTAACTCCAGCCACACTTCACCTGCGGCTGCCAGGGTGAGGCACGCTGCATCTGCGTCCCTGCCCTTGCTCGTGCTCTTACTCAGCACCGCGCCCTCCTAGGTGGCTGTGAATATTGGCTGAATACACAAATAAGTAAGTTTGTCTCCCACTTCTTTGGATACTGCCAGACCGGGGCACCCTCCGGTGAAAGGGGTGCCAACCCCTAGGCTGGGAGAAGCCACACCTCCTCACCTCTGGAGAAGCAGGCAGCCACCTGCCAGGTCCTGCCAGCACCTTGTAAAGTGAGCTTGCTTTGGCCTTCTCACCTTCTAAATGTACACACACTAACCTTGCCCTTCCCACCAAGGTGCCTGTTTACATGAGTGTCTCACCCAGTTCTGGGGTCACTAGAACAGAGGATAAGTCTACTGCGTGGGTGTTCAGGAAACAATGTGATTTAATGAGCAAAGAAGGGAAAATGTGGGGAAAAGAAAGTGGGACCAAGGGAGAACAGAAACATTTACTCCTGGTGCTAAGCCAAGCTCTGTATTGACCATCTTAAATATCTTATCTCATTTTATCTACACGATAACAGCCCGTGAACCAGGATCAGAAACGCCTCATTCTCAGAAATGTATAGAAAAGACACCTTATTCCAAAAGCATGACAGGATAGAAAGGGATCATTTAACTTGAAACAGGGTACTAAAAGCAAGTGATAAGGATTGATTTCAAGAGCCTTGCCATTGAATGACTCTTGTATAGACAGACAGGTCAAGTGACTGTTATTCATACTTTCTTTTTTTTTGAGATGGAGTCTCACTCTGTCACTCAGACTGGAGTGCAGTGGCAAGCTCCCGGCCACCGCAGCCTTGACCTGCTGGGCTCCAATGATCCTTCCACCTCAGCCTTCCAAGTAGCCAGAACTACAGGCACATTCTACCACGCCCAGCTAACTTTTATTTATTTACTGTAGAGACAAGGTCTCTCCAAGTTGCCTGGATGGGTCTCGAACCCGCAGGCTCAGGCAATCCACTCACCTCAGCCTCCCAAAGTGCTGGGATTACAGGCTGAGCCACTGAGCCCAACCTGTTGTTCATATTATCTAACAGCATTCCAGAAAAGGCTAGATAAGGCATTTGAACTTCACATTGCTCTTAAGTGAGCAAATTATAGCACAAACCTCCAGAGTAGCTCCATGTAGTTGTGTTTTTGTGTTCAAGTTTTAAAAAAATACCTGCTTTAATTTTCTCCCTGCAGCCTTTACCTCTTGGGCTCAGGTGATCGTTCCGCCTCAGCCTCCCAAGTGGCTGGGACTACAGGCACACACCAACACTCCTGGCTCATTTTTTTTTTTTTGTAGAGACGAAGTCTTGCTATGTTGCCCACGTTGCTCTCGAACTCCTGGGCTCAAGCAGTCCTCCTGCCTAGGCCTCCCAAAGTGCTGGGATTATAGGGTGGAGCCTTCTATACTTCTCTTTCAAACCCTTCTTAGTGCTGTTAAGGGCCCAGATGCCTTACCCTTGACTTGAAATTCAAAGAACTCCTTCGTTCAATTTAGTTGCTGGTTAATAGAAGAACCTCCTTTTCCACCATTTCCCATCAGCAGCATCTGTTCTAATCACACATCTTCATCTTTTGACTGGGCTCATTTTATTCTCCTTGTCTACAATTAATTTCCCTCCAGGAGGGCCTAGTCCAAAGCTCACCCGAAATGTTACCTCCTCTGGGAGCACTTCCTTGATTCCCACCATTAATCACTCTTTCCCCCTTCTGTGTCCCCAAATAATAATTACAAATTTACAAGAGCTTTGGACAGGCAAACTCTTGTTTAATGTATCTTGTCTATATAAAACCCGGCATATAGTAGGTACTCAGAAAATGCTGGGAAAAGACACTTTATGTTCCTGAGCTGTCATCTAAGCTATAGGAGATCTATGCGAGTATTTGAGTAAGGATTCCATTGTATTAAACTGCTATCCTACCTATAATAACCTCTCCTCCACATATACCACACTGAGCTGGAACAATTCTCCTGACACCTAAATCTTCTCTGTTCAAACCTGCGGTGGCTCTCTAGGACCTCCAGGTGAAACCAAATCTTCTCGATGGTATTGACATGGCAAGGCCCGCCCTTTTGAAACCTGCCTGTCCACATACTCTGCACCCCACTTAAGCAGCAAAACATTGCTAGAGAGAACACAGAAAAAAAATTTTTTTTTTTAGTTGGAGTCTCACTCTGTCACCCAGGCTGGAGGGCAGTGGCATGCTCCCAGGCAACGCAGCCTCGACCTGCTGGGCTCTGGGGATCCTTCCACCTCAGCCTTCCAAGTAGCTGGAACTACAGGCATGTGCCACCACGCCCGGCTAATTTCTTGATTTATCATGGAGACGAGGTCTCGCCAAGTTGCCCAGGTGGGTCTCGAACCTGCAGGCTCAGGCAATCCACTTGCCTCGGCCTCCCAAAGTGCTGGGATTACAGGCTGAGCCACCAAGCCCGGCCGAGAACACAGAAATTAGAAGTGATTTCACTTTAAAGGTAAGTCCACAAACCTCAAATGTGTCCTCAAATCCTTTGCATCCCTGGTATGTTTTTCCAGTTTCCATTTTGACTGTTTTATGCTTATTCCTCTTTCCTCAAAATTCTAATATGCTTACACCTTGCCATTTGCTCATGACCTACTGTCTGCTTTAAGAAAATAGAATCAATCAGACAAAACTCTCTTGTATTTCCCTCTCAACCACCAAGTGGCATATTCCCCACCTCACTCCTGTTATAAGGAAGACCAACTTCTCCACTTTTGTATGGATTCTCATCTTTTCTTCCCTTCTTAATCTTCAAGAACTTTGCTCCTGAAATTAGCCATCCTCTCTGGCATCACCAAGTGCTAGTTTTCTACCTGTCCATTTCCATCATCATATTTTTCCCTTTAAAAAAAGCCTACCATGATCTGTGTCCCACCCTCGTACTATTTCATTGTTCCCCTTCACAGGTAAAAAAGCTTTTTTGAAAGAGTTCTTTGCACCCTGAAGAAGAATAAAACAGGGTAGGGAGGCCAAGAACATCTAAGAAGAGATGGCTAGTGCAAGTGTGGATATTTTGCTTAACCGCAAAGTCACCAGAATGCTAATCTTCACAACAACCCAATGAGAGCGACACCCAATAGCCACTAAACACATGCGACTATGGAGCACTTAAAAGATGGCTAGTGCAAGTGTGGATATTTTGCTTAACTCCAAAGTCACCAGAGTGCTATGACGGAACAAGCCATGAGAATATCTAGCGGGGTGGAAGGTATTTTCTAAGTGGAGGAAACAGGAAGTACTTGTGAAAGTTGATCATATGAATTGGGTCATTCTTGTCTAAATTAGAGTTGAGGGACTAGAGGGAGAAGCACTCAGGGTATAAAACGTTGCTCCAAGAATATAATTCTTTGTGAGCCTGACCGCTGAAACTGCCTGTTATGACCTGAGACTAGTTTCATCAGAGATGCTGAGTTAATTTGCTGCAATTCTAGGAC